TGGTCCTCCAACTCAGCCCTTTGTTGATTTCCTCCCTAGCACTGGTAACAGTTTACTTTTATATAATTTATTCATTTGTGTGCTTTTACTCACTATATCGTAAGCTCCTAAAGGATTAAAATCTCTTATTTGTCTACTATTCTTTTCCTGAGACTTAGATAGTATAAAAACCTAGGATATAATGTTTATGAGGAACATTAATTGAGCTACTTAAGTCTCACAAACATGTATTTGATTTATTCTTTGTTCATTTCAGGGAAACAGCTTAAGAAATCCTTCAATTTTGGTTAATAAAAAAATCCATTAAGTGTGACTTCAATTATCTAAATAGCCAATAATTTCCTCAACTGGTACATGCTTTCCCAGCAAAGATTTAAAATCCATGGAAGATGACTGATATTGACTGCTATCATTACTTCATCACCCATCAGGCATTTCGCATATTCTACTAGGTCTAAACAGTGATGCTTTTCTAGCCTTTTTTTGGTTAGCACATAAAATCTATCTGTGGTCCTCTACAAATATCAAAAAACGGGTGTGGTGGTCATATACAAGAATCATTTTTTATTAAAGTTTTTAATAAGTAGGTCCCATAAGAGAGGCAGAAATAGATACCCAAGCTTTCTACCAATCAGAAACATGGAAATATATACAATTGTTGTAGTATCACATCCTTGGGATTATAAAGAGAATTACTGAGAATGGTATATAAAACTTTTGCATAATTATCACATAGGAAATGTTATTTGTCTACCCCATATTTCCAGTTTCCAGCCTTAAAATACTGTGAAAATGAATTACAATTTATATAATGTATTTCTACTACTTTATATTAACCATACCTTATATAATTATCTACAACTATGCTTTTTAATAGTAGGTGACCTTTACTACAGTAGCACAACTATAGAACTTCATCAAAGGAGAGCAGAAGAAGCAAGGAGCCCCAGACTAGAAACAAGTGGGGGAAGAGTGTTGTGGTTACAGAGGGTTGGAAGGAGAATACTCTACGCCCTCAACCCATCAATTTGAACTCTATGTAATCAATCATTCCATTAACTACATATTTAGATTTTCTTCTGAAGTTTTTGATGGTTTGCTTATTTTTTACATTTCTCATACACACTGTATAAATAATCAAAACCACAAACATTGATGTTCTACTGTGGATTGCACAAATGGAAACGGTTAAATGAAAAAAAGAAGTAATTCATATAGATTGAAAGAGCAATAAAAAAAATACACCAACCCAGTACAACAACCCTGTAGTTCTGTAGGCGTGAACAACAAAACAGTCTAAATGAGAGTATTATAGACATGCAGTGTGCTGTTTATACTTTCTCAGGAAATACGCCTGAGTTAGAATTTACACTTCAAATCAGATTGTAAAATAACATTGTGATGTTAGTATGTCAGATCCCCAATATAACTGGTTCCCTGCCTTTCAGTACATGAGACATTTCCCAGTTCCCTTTGAATTTAAGTGTATCCATGTGATTTGCTTTGGCCAAATTCTCAAGAACAAAAGTGACACATCGGGCAGTTTTAATAGCTGGTGTGCAATTTGTACATCCTCTCTTTTTCCCTTTGCAACTGTGTCCAAGAAAGATCCAGCTGGTGGCAGCTCTATCAACAAGCATCCCAGAGTGGAATATAAAGGAGAGCCTCCACCTGACTTTCGATAGACATGCACTATTTTAAAACAATGGTTTTCAACCAGGGGCAATCATGCCTCTGCCTCCAAAGAACATGTGGCAATGTCTGGAAACTTTTGGTTGCCACAACTTACAAGGAGTATGTGTTAATGGCATTTAGTGGATAGAGGACAGCAATGATGCAAAACATCCTACACTGCACAGAACAACCTCCCACAACAGAGTCACCCAACCCAAAATGTGAATAGTGCCAAGTGAGAAATCCTACTGTAAAATCCTGGTGATAAAAGGATTTTTGTTACTACAGCATAATCCAGGCTATCCTGACTGAGAGATGGTTCAATATTTGGAAATCTATTATTATAATTTTACCATAATGATAGGGCTAAGCAGAAAAAATGTTACCATCTTAATAGATTTAGGAAATTTATCTGATAAAAATACAATATTCATTTGTAAATAAAAAAGAAAAAACTATTTTTGTAATATCAATTTGAATATCACAAAAACATATTTCTCAAAAGCCAAAATTAGATTAATATTGAGTCAGTAGAATGAGCCCATAAGGTTAAAAACTAGAAATAGCAGACAATGGTCCCTGACTTAAGATGAATTGACTTCCGATTTTTGGCTTTACAATGGTGCAAAAGCAATACCCATTCAGCAAAAGTATACTTTAAATTTTGAATTGTGATCTTTCCCCTGGCTAGAGATAGGCAGCAGTGAGCCATGAGAGTGAGCAGAGAGATAGGCTCCCAGTTACAGGCAATCACAAGGATAAACTGCCAATACGCTACAACCATCCTGTACCTGTACAACCATTCTATTTTTCACTTTCAAGACAGTTTAAAAAAAAAAACTACATGAGATATTCAACACTTTATTATAAAACAGGCTTTGTGTTAGATATTTTTGCTCAACTATAGGTTAATGTTTTTGCTCAACTATAGGTTAATGTAAGTGTTCTGAGCATGTTTAAGGTAGGCTAGGCTCAGCTATGATGCCTGGTAGGATAAATATATTAAGTGCATTTTTGACTTTCAGTAATTTGAACTTACAATGAGTTTACTGGGACATAACCCCATTATAAGTCAAGGAAGATCTGTAGTTCAGTTGGTAATGGTATACAACATACATTTTTTGCTTCAGGAAATACATGCTCATATCCATTAATAAAATCAATAAATATCTTTGGATTATCCTGCCTCATGCAAGAGTTTGGATTAGATGTGTTTTATCTTCTCTCTGTAGTTTTAAATTTAGGCTATTTGAAAAGTGAATTTACTACAATGGCTGTGTCCTGTATTATAACTAGATGCTACTTGCAATTGAAAAACACAAGATACCGGATAATATAATATTCTGAAATATGGGTGGCTTCTAGCTTATAACATGTGACCTATACATTTTACAACCTTTCTCATACTGACAGTTCCCCTTTGATAATAATCAAAACTTGAAATTACAACGGGCTAAGAAACAAGCGAGGATACACACACTCTGCTAATTCCACTGGCAACAGTACTTGGCTAATGCTGTGGTGATGACTCAGCTGAGTTTGTCGGGGGTTGTATTCTAAGAATTCCATTTATTCTCAGGAGCTCAGCAATGAAGCTCTTATTGAAATAAAAGAGCAAAAAGAGCAAGAGATACTTAAGGAACAGGAATTGCCATGGAAACTGCCCTTCCCCCCCATAATTTACCATTTAAAGATTTTTGTAGTCATAAAATTGTCAGTGGACATTTTTGAGACCGGTAACACAAATTCTGGAAGTAATTCAAATGTCCTTGGAAAAATGAAAAATGTTTCTGTTTGCCACAGAGAGATTTACCAGGTAGGATGATGATCTGTCTTCAATCTAAATTTTAATAATCTTGTTTTAAGAAGCCTTTACTAAGTCCAGTTCATGCAAAAAAAAAAAAAATCCCCCTAAAAGAATATTTGGGTCTTGATTTTTAAGATAATTTGGTTTTACATACTTAAGAAATTATAAGCATTATACATCTGTATTTATTTCCTTTTAATCATCATTTTTGTATTTCATGGAAAAAATATGTTTTATGAAAACTGAACTCTTATTTATGACACAAACTATTGGAAATAAAAGGTCGCCTTAAGTTGGCTATGCACATAACCAGGGTTTAGGAGCATTCTGAGTCAAAGTTGAGGTCTATCTGTATCATAGAACAATAAAAAGCAACCTATCTTGGACAATGACCAATTTAATGATTTTTTTTCTTTTAGCATATTATGAACAAAGTCTAGAAATTCCATATTCCACAGAGGGGATCAATAGGAAACTTGGAATTCACTTCAGGAATTGTGATCCTCTCATCTCAGGTGTAAAAACAGAGAATGGAATGTTTTATTTCTGTAATTTCTAGTGCTTTGTTATTTATGTGAATGAATTTTAAAAAGTATCTCTGAAATATTATTTCAGTAATATTTACTTCATAACAATAGAAATAGAAAGCTTCAGAAATGTTAGTCACTTATGAATATAAACTAGTGAGTATTTATTATCAATACACAAGGAAAGGTTCTTAATGTTCAAATGTATTATGGTCATATCCTTGCTATATATCAGTTATGTTTTATCCAAATCAATTGCAAAATTTTAAGGTGACAACAGCCAAACCCAATGGGCTGTATATTAATGCTGAAGATGAGGGGAAGGTGGTCAGGCAAAATTAAATCTTCTAGAGAACTAGTCCAGCTTTGCCCAAAAGGAGAGCCCTCCCAAGAGGTGTTCTAAGAGACTGGATGCATGACAAAGAACTCTGTCATAATTAACAATTTTCAATTGTAAATAAATATTCCAGAGGAACCTAGAGAAAAGCATGCACTATTTTGTAAGAGGACCAGATTCGTACAATGGCAAAAGTGCCTGTTTTATTTTTATTTTTTTAAGGTAAGAGGTAGATAAAAATTGACTGAAATGTTTAATGATTTGTTTGTTACAATACAATAGACAACAAATGACCAGGGGACAAGCCTTGTTCACCACCTTTGATAATTGCTTAGATTTAGTATTCACATTGCCTGCACTCTGGTTTGGCAATAAACTAATAAATAGTTGTGGAAACTACTGTATGCATTTCTGTGATCACTGATTCATCTTCTGGAGAAAATTACTCTGAAGAGATTTCAATCATCCAATTTTGTATCAACTCAGCATTATAAATGACTAGTCAATTCAGTCAATGAATTGTCTCAAATGGAAAAATTTCATTACAACAAGGTATTATTATCATGTTGACAACAACAAATTTAAGCTAAAAAGAAAACAAAATCGGTTGGTTTATTGAATTTTCATTTCTTTGCAAACAGAAGTAGTGGTCATTTGTGTATATTTGGCTTCTCCTTAGGAAGTTATGGGCCAGAATGGGTCTGATGGGTTGTGTAGTCTTTACTGCTTCTTGTTCTTCTTTCATTTTGTTTCTTTTCTTTATTCATCTCTTTGAGATTAGTCTTTGGACACTTCAGTTTTCATAGTGGATACTGAACAACAAACCACAATCTTTAGATCATATTCCAGTTGAGAAAGGCCCATGACTTTCTTTGATATTTAGGGACCAGAGTTACTATAGGATAATTCTCGTTCTGAACTGTGCCGAGTGAAATGGTCAGACAGATGTGCAGTGTCCAAGCTGAGCTCACATTACTCAGTTTTTTCCTCCAACCAGGCAAATCTGACATGCAGTTTGAGCAAAACTACTGGGTGACAAATTTGTAGTATGGCCTAGCAGATGGAATTCTGAAGGCCATTGTCCAGCATCTTCTGTCTCCTTATAGTTACTAGCTTGCAAGAAGACTAAGAAACAGGCACAGATAATGCTGTCCAACTGGATTTTCCATGTTTCCTGGATGACTGCCACAGTGTCCATCTTAGGTCTCTCTAAGGGGGTTTATGAAATTGCTGAGGCTTAATAATAGCAGTGACTTTTACAGTTTATTTTTTACCTGATCAGAACAGGTCCTTATGTGTCTTTGCCGGTGTCCCTTTTATATCTTGTTCATGTTTTGCTGAATATATGCCTCATATACTATAGTGCTGTGGAAACAGGCAGTGGACAACAATTGGGTTTAGATGTATTTGTTGATAAGAGCTGTGCAAGGGACGTCCAGTGACTGCTCTGCACACTGGCGGAAATATGCATTGTAAATCCCAAAATCCAAAAACCTTGGCTTGGCCTTTTTGAACACCAAATATGGAATCTAATCCTGGAAGCAGGGGTGAGCCCTAAATTCAGAACATAATGTGAACATGAAAACAATTTACTGAAAAATGACTGAAGCTTCCTTTATTAACGAGTATTTTCTATATCACTCTGTGTGGCACTGTAAGTTAATACATATGGATTGTTAACTGTTTCCTCCTTTCTAAGGACATGGTGAAAACCCGTCATGTATGAGGCTTAGGAGAGAGATCTGTCACAGTTTGGATTCCCTTCTGTGTGTGCTGCATTACTGTTTTTCCATGGGGTTTAATCTTGAGGAAGGATTTTTGCTTCTTATGCCAGGGCACCGATCTTTGCTTTTTCTCTGTCTTAAAATTTAGTCTCAAAGTAGTAAGTCTTAAATTCTAGGAAATGCTTTGATCCCATATACTTCAGGTTGCTGACTGAAGCTGTGTGATGCTGCTGTTCTCTGCCTTTCTGAGTATTTTGGGTTTGAGCTTTTTTTGCCAATTACTAGCTCCCGGTGGGATCAGCTTTTTCCATAGAATATTTTTGTGAGTATTCAGTCTGTGAAAAATACATGCTACAAAACATCAGCATAGTTATGGAAAGCAGTATTCCTTTTTGGCAGAAAGTGTTTATTTTACTATTTAGAACACTTGAAAATAGATCTTCCATTACATAGAAGTGTGAATGTCTTAATACTTTCTATGTGATTCTATTAAGCTTGCCCCTAGCAGCTTTGTGGTATGATTAATCTTTCTATAATAAATATTTTGAAGGTACCACCACTATTTAATTCATCCAGAATCCATGGATTTAGAAGCTCTATATCCATGGATTCTGATTAAATTCTGCAATACTATTATTTAAAAAAAAAAAGGTACTGGATTGGTCAGGGTAACCTAACTTTAATCACAAACAGCCCCAAAATATCAGAAGCATTAGGCAACAAAAGCTTATTTGTCATTCACAGTTCAACGTAGGTTGGCATGAGGGGTGAGCTGGGGGTGGGGAGGAGGAACTGTGATCCACGTAGTCGTTTAGGGATTCAGGCCTTCCATCTTGTCATCCCCTTGCCTTCAGGTCCTTGTTGTCCTCTCTATTCAGGTGAAGGTTTAATGAAACAGGCCTGAAAATGGTAATTTTAGCTCATAATGTATTAGCTAGAATTGACTTCTCTGTGCCCAAGAAGAAAAGAACATGGATATTACTGATCACTAGCAATCTCTCAGAGAGATGGAATGATTTACTGCCCCCGTTTCAGGACAAAAATGAAAAAAATTGTTTTGTCTAGTATACCTTTACTTTTTATCTTACTTTGATCATTTAATTTTCTTTTCACATTTACATATAAAAGCGATAATATAATAAGAATATTTCTCTGTAGCTAATACACGAAAATTTTCTATTGTGTTCTACTCGGTAGGACTTGTCATTTTCCTAATAAGAGTAATGAATTCACACTGAGACACTCATATCTTCTTGCTCATTTTTTTGTGATCAATGACAGGCATTTGCAAGATGTTTATTGGGGTTACAAGTTTGAACTGAACCAACAGAGGAAACTGAACATACTTAACTGTGAATAGCATGGTTTAGTTAAAGGCACTGAACTTAACAGGCATATTTAAGGAAATAAAAATATACACTGGTATTTTTCTTTCTTGTTCTGGCTTATTCCACTTAGAATTACAATCTCTAGGTCCATCCATGTTGCTGCAAATGGTATTATTTTATTCTTTTCTATGGCTGAATAGTATTTCATTGTATAAATAGACCACAACTTCTTTATCCAGTCATCTGTCAATGGACGTTTAGGTTGTTTCCATGTCTTGGCTATATTGTATATAGTGCTGCTATGAACATTGGGGTGCATGTATCTTTTCAAATTAGAGTTCCTTCCAGATAGATGCCCAGGAGTGAGATTACTAGGTCAAATGGTAAGTCTGTTTTTAGTTTTTTTGAGGAATCTCCATACTGTTTTCCATAATGGCTGCACCAAACTACATTCCTACCAACAGTGTAGGAGGGTTCCCTCTTCTTCACACCCTCTCCAGCATTTATTGTTTGTGGACTTTTTAATGATGGCCATTCTGACTGGTGCCTAGAGATCATCATTCTAAGTGAAGTAAGCCAGAAAAAGAAGAAAAATACCATATGATATCACTCATATGTGAAATCTGAAAAAAAAAAGAGAAAAAGAGGATACTAATGAACTCTTCTACAAAACAGAAAGAGACTCACAGACATAGTAAACAATTTTATGGTTACCAGGGGAAAGGGGATGGGGAGGGATAAATTTGGGAGTTTGAAGTTTGCAAATGTTATCCATTATATATAAAAATAGATTAAAAAAATTTCTTCTATATAGCACAGGAGACTATATTCAATAACTTGTAATAACCTTTAATGAGAAAATATGAAAATGAATATATGTATATGCATTACCAAGACATTGTGCTGCACACCAGAAATTGACACACTGGAACTGACTCTATTTCAATTAAAAAAAAAAAAAAGACTAAATAAGAACAAAAATCCCTTCTCTCTTTGAGAAGGTGGAGCTGGAATAAAAATCAGGAAATATGACCCAAAAATGAAATAAAATTGTTAAAGTGAAAAAAATATATAAATGATCTATGAGAATATAATTTCATAGAAACCATGGAACATATTTTTATTTTATCTGTAGGATTCAATGGTTTATTTTAGAATAATCTAAGCAACTGACAATGTTTGATCATATCTGGGTAATGCACTGTACTTGTGGCTAAGAAAAATGAATGTATCTTTTTGAGTACTTTGTTTACCATCTGACAAGAGATTTAAGGACCAAGAATAATAATTTCAAAACAGATTTTATTTCAGCAATAGGAATCTTCATAGTTTTATTTAGAAACAAGGAAATAGCAAATTGCCTGGTCTGAAGTATAGAGCTCCTAATAAGAAGGCAAGGACTTCATGTCCACATATAGGAACTGCTAGGTTTGGTTTTTCATAGCAGAACCATGAAAAATGTGAGAGAGTCAAAACTGTATTTAAAACTAGGTTTGCCAATGGGCTTTTGCTGCTGAAAATGATACACATTTTGATACTAAAAGGGAGATACAAGCTTTGAGGCTGTCACTTATCCCAAAACCATTATTGATGATTCACTGTCTACCAACCATCCAAAAGTGTGCATGTGTTTGTATGTGAAAGGAGAATTTACCTCTGCCAATCGTGTAGGAATCAGAGAGAAAAATACATTGACGACATTCAATTCAAGTGATGAATTAGAATTTTGTGGTAGTATATAGGGATTATTTCACTTAAAAGTTGTAAAATTTATTTGTCACGCAATATAATATAATGGTTATTTAGAAAAACTCAAGAGAAAAGTAGGAACTTCAATTTTTTAAATCTAGCATTTATCAAGCACTTTCTATGTGCCAGGCTCTGAGATCAGAACCTTTTATTAGTGATCTCATTTATGACTTACAATCATATGAGGTAGATATTACAGTTACCTCTCCCCCTTTTAGTTATTGTCAACCATTAAACTTGTTTTTGCACTTTATCATTAAATGTTAACTGGTGATCTAATATCTACTAAACACTATGACATACACAGAGGAAATACTGAGGTACATAAAAATGATTTCTGACTAATAAAATTGAACATATCATTAACTATATTATGGTGTTCACTTTGGATAATCCATCATCAAAGCTTTCTGTTTCTCCAGCTTATCAAGGTCTTTCCTTTCTCAAGCTCTCACACAAACTCTCCCCTCCTCCGGAATGCTCTTCTCTGGCCTCTTCCATACCTCAGAGCTTAACTAAAATGTCACTTTCTCAGAAAGATTTTCCTTGACTCACCAATCTAATTTCAGTTGCTCAAGTTAACCTCTCTCATAGTCCCTTTTCATTCTCCTTTATCCCACTTAAATATATATATAAAACACTACATATATAACTACATACTTAAGAATATTTATTTAATACTTCTTTTTTTTTTAATCTTTTTTGTGGGGGAAGGTAATTAGGTTTACTTATTTACTTTTGATGGAGGTACTAGGGATTGAACCCAGGACCTTGTGCATGCTAAGCACACACTCTACCACTGAGCTATACCCTCCTCCCAATTTATTTAATTCTAATGCCTGTGTTTCAAACCTGACCGCAATCTCCTTGAGGGCAAGAGCTATGTCATTTAGGTTCTTTTTTGCAAAGTTTAAGAGTTTGTATTTTGTTCAAGATGCAAATGGAAGCAAAGGTGGTTTAGCATGGTAGTGAGATGTTTCTGTTTATATCTTAAGAAGACCTTTTCTGACTGCTCTGATCCTAGGTTCCTTTAAGTTTTTTCTTATTTAGCTTGTTTTTTGGTAAACTGCATTTTTATTTATTTTTATTTTTAATATTAAATGGTGTGATTATCATTAAATGCTAGTTTTTATACACACATATCTGCATATCACATATATGTGTGGCTATACAGAATAGATCATCTGCAATTTACACGTGCAGTTTGAAAATATGTTCTCTTCTTGCCTTAAAGTAAACACTAACATACTTATCAGTCAAAAAAGGTTGAGTAACTGATGTTGGGAATTCTAGATGTGTTCTACAAGAAGTGCTAACGGCTAATAAAAGCAAGACAGGAAAAGAGTATTAAATGCAATATAACTAGGACTGACATAATTAAGGGAGGAAAAAATATCAAAGCCATAAAAAATACTTTGATGTATGAAACTCAAGCTCTAGCAAATATAATATTGATGGATTATATGGCTTTTCAAAGTTTTTCATTCACAGTTAAATCCAAACTGAAAAATC